GGACAGCTGACGACTCAGGATGAGTCCTTCGAAGGACCAGGCGATATGGGACTTTCCGAAAATAGGGGCTACCTTATTTGGGGGTCCTTATAATAAGGATCCTATTATTTAGGGTACTATATTAGGGTCCCTTGTTCTCGGAAGCCGCCCGTGCTTATCCCGTGGTTCTCGTAGGACGCGGGGTCTTCGAGTGGTGCAGAGTTGCTGATGACGACAACCCTGACGATGACGATGGCAATCATTGGCCATGCTGCTGGTGCTGACGATGATGTTGGATGAAGATGAAGTTGGCGAAACTTAATAAGTGGGTATAATGAGGGGATGACAGAGCCTCAAAGAGATCGTCTAGCGTCGGGAGCATGCTTGGGTTGTTAACACAACTAGGTGGACTCGCCCAGAAGAGCAGGGTCTTGCTTGTCTTTCCTAGATTCAATTTAGAACGAAACCTGACCATCGATGAGTCTGGCTTTTCTATGAGGCTCGTGGTTACCTTTTTGCTATGTTTGCTTTTGGGTCATGGTTTCTGTTCAGGGGATCTCCCAACGGTATGTTTGTTTATCTCCAAAGGGGAATGCATGGAGTGTTGCAGTCAAGGAAAGCCCTGTGAGAGCACAACCCAGAACCGAGCATCCTGGAAAGAGCGTGCTTTTGATTCCAGATTTGCCTAATATTTCTAAGGTCTTGCTCCTCTGAACGCTCGTTGGCCAATGACGTAAACCCGAATCAGTACAGGGGCCTGAATCATGGGTCAGATAACTAGTGAGTATTCTAGAATCTAGCCCAAAGCGCTACTCAGCTTATGAAAGCCCCCATATAATATTTGGACCAAAAATCCCGACATCACTGACCGGTGACAGGTCGGTGTGCTCCAGCACTTTGCCCGAGACCGCCAGCGCTGGGTCGTGAGACTCGACGGTCGTGATGCGCTTTTCAAGGCCTGGGAGACCGAGACCAAGAGAACAAATATTGTTTCATGATAGGTGCTGTAGCAAGAAAGAATGCAAATGCACATAGAGTTATTCTTTGAAGCCTTACGGATGCATCTGACGAAACAGTCGTATTAGCACGCTCGAAAAACAGATCCTTTCGCATTATCCTTGGCGATTTTCCAGAACGATGCAGCTGTCCATGCACTATTCATCTACATCTGTCTCGCTTTCTGTTTGCTTCTCGCCAACCACGACATTCACTCACGGATTCAGGATTGGTCTATTCGAGTTTGTCTTGTGAGTCTTGTGGGCATGCCCTGTCTGCTAGTACGCTTGTGGCAGAGCCATGGGTGTTCGCTGCCGCCTTGATTTTTCAAAAATGGCAGCACATCAGCAACAGACTCGACTGCCAATTCATGAAGCTACAGAGACCTGCAGGCCGTCCAGCACTACATCCTCAACACAGAGGGTTTGGGGGTTCAGCTCCAAAGCACACCAGCCACTTCAATGTCGTAGCAGCTCTGCTGGGAATTGTCACACTCCATGAATTCAGGCGGCAAACTTGGACAAGGTGTGATGCCGGGCCCTTAGTCTTGGATCCCGTAATTCACACGAGTGGGTGAGGCAGTCAGCCTCCAGGTCCCTGGTTTCAGGAAAGTAACCATCGTATTGTTCATTGGATAGTCCTGCTATCTGCCTGAATACCCTCCTCACCACAGCTGTCCTGCAATTCATTCATTGTAGCAACGATAACGAGGCGTGCGCTCAGTATGGTTCATGCTTCCCACTATTCGCTTATCATTCGCAGGGCGGTGGATTCTTTCCGACCCTTTGAAAATCTTCTGTCTATGCGAGCTTTCTCCAGGTTTATTAAATTCTACATTTACTGTTTCCGTACTTTCCTCTGATCTTTTTGACATACTTTTGCCGGCTGGTTTTCAACAGTGCGAAGAAGCAAGAGAGCCCCGGTCACTAGAATTGAAACGAAAAAGCTCCCTTGCTTTCCAAACCCAGCCAGGTTGCTTGTTCTCCGCTTCGAAAGAAATCAGACAAATCCCCTAACCACAAATCTGGGAGCATGAGAAACCTACTTGTCCCGTACCAGTGGTAAGAGTATGGCGAGACAATGGTTTGCAATCTCACCCTGGTAAGAACTAACCAGCACGTCTATCTTTCTTCATGCTTTGAGTGCAGGACAGTTGGCCACACTTAGCAGCATGTCGAGCTAAACCACAACTAAAACATAACCAGGGGTCCTGTATGTTTAGCCATAAGTACGGACATTCTTATATAAGCAAGGGAGCCCCTCTTGCTTGTAGCAACGTATGCGCGCGCTTCTCCACGTCGAAGTTAGAAGGGAGAGGGTTCTTCGAAGCTTCCACAAGATGAAGAAGCTGTACGTAGTAGAATGAGTTACGATACCTAAGCTGCCCAAGCCTGTTTTGATCGAGGAGAAGTTAGATACCTCCGCAGCTTCTTAATGATAAGGTTGAGCTTCAAATTCTTTACTGGTAAGATCTGAAGGGGTCTAGTCCAAAAAATGTGGTTCTGGAATTGGCCACTGCATGTTTTACCTTGTGGCCGAACCGCAACTCTAGTTTCTGTCGGGGCACTTATCACGCAGCTGCTGCAAGTAGAGTTCGGGCTCAGGACGTAGAGTAGAGGCCTGAAATGGCTTGGGTGCTTAGGGAAAAGTAGCAAACACCACCATTGACGACTTCGAATTTGCAGATCCTCAGCGGGATATAGAAATGTCTGTTTACGTCTGTGACGGATCCCTCCAAGGGGACATACATATTATAAGTATACATACATACATACATACCTGCATACCCTCATACCTACACACACACACACATACATACATACATACATACATACATACATACGTACATACATACGTACAATGTGTATATACATATACATACATGCACGCATACATATATACATACATGGACATTTTGTGTTTATTGTATAGGAGCACCAACTGCGTGTGTGCATCGTATCCACTTGTAGATAGATGGGTGGATAGACAGATAGATCTTTACATAGATGGCTAAAAGTATAAGGTATTTCTTCACTGATCTGGCCAGGGTTCTTCATGCAGGCCCTCAAACCTCTAAAGCGTCTGCTTAGGAATGCAAACATCGCCTGACACCGTGGGAAGTTTCAGGTTGTCCGAGCTGCGGGTAGCTCCCAAAGCGACGGGGCGCCAAGCTTCGCGACAACAAGGCTCATAGGTCAAAAGACTGCTGGCAGTTAGGACCCGATTTCGAGCATAGTGAGTATGGGATGATATGGGGCTGGTTGAGGCAAATGAGAGTGTTCTGTATGACGACATCATGCGCTGTCAACACCGCATGGCAGCGAAAAGTTCTCACAGTCCCCAGAAACCCCCGCAACGTGAGCAAGGTACAATCATTAGGAAAGTCCTTAGTCTATTGTTATACATGCTGAGAGCAGGCAACCGTGGTCTCAGTCAGTTTAGGTTAGGGTACGGACGTTGCAAGTTGTCAAGTTGTGCCGTGAGAATTCTCTGTTCTGTTGCGGAGCGCCTACAGCTGAAGACAAACTTGAAGAGTTTGAGGAACCACCTGTAGAAGCTAGCATGTAGCCACAGGGGTCACTTTATCTGCTGTTCGATCAGGGCTTCAAGAATTACTGTACCTGCAGCAAGAGTTCAAGCACAACAGCGCCCCGCCCCCAACCCCCAAAAAAAAATTATCCACGGGTGTACCATCTGCCTCAAGGCTTTTCACTCTCTCTGACTGAATTAAGCTTTTGGGCATTGGGTGCAGGGTTTGCCGACTTGGGTGCTCAAGATTTGCCTCAGGATCGTGTGTCTTGCAAGCCAGCACATGGAAGAGTTTCCGAACATGTGTCCTCCATCTTTCAAACTCCGGCTCGGAAGACCGCACCCTTCCTGTAGGTTGCATGGCAAAGCGGCAACTGCTAAAAAGTGTAAACGTGTTTCTCATCATTCTGACGTGTCTCGCCACATTGCAAGACGATAGAGTAGCATGCACCTGAAAACCCCGCACCTACTGGTAGCTAGCATACACGGGTATTCTAGACTTATCGCTTCCGGCCCAAAAAACCAAGAAGCTCCCCCACTCCAGCGGCCATGCTCGACTTTCGACCGCATGTTGTGCTGCCTCCTCCGGCACCAGCTCCACGCGGCGCAGCAGACTCGGCCTCCAGGGTTTGCCAGCTAGACCAAGGAAAGGGTTTAGGGTTTAGGGTTTAGGGTTCCTAAACCCCAGAAAGCCAGAAAATGCACAGAAAAATCAAACGCTGGCAGAGGGACATGGGTGGGGACCCGGGTTCAGACAACTACTGGTAGTGCTGGTGGCGGCGGAGGTTGATGTCTGCAGCTGTAGCCAAGAGTTCCTCAAGTGAGATGGACTAGGTCAGATGGACATCACTATGCGAGAGGTTGCGGTCCGCAGAATTCGTTCCTGCCCATCTTCTTTCAGTCGCCAACATTTGCAATCCGAGATTGCGCAGCCTCTGGCGTTGGAACGCCGTCGTAAAGCCACGTGAACCCATGGGCGAGTCATTTTTGTTCGTGCCCGCTTGTCACTCCACTTGTCACTCGTCAGCTCTAGGATAGAGGTTTGCTTCGTAATTCTTCAGCCATATTGGGGTCGTAGATTCTTCTCAGATTGTCATTATAGGCTCACCCTCCTTTGATAGTCTGCAGTTCTGGATTTCAGGGGTTGAGGGATCTTCCCGCCGCAGCCGTTTCTGCTTTAGCAGAGGTATCAGGAAGTGTCCCCAAAGCACTTGCCACATTGGGCAGGCCAGTCCGGCAATCTTGCAGAAACTGTTGCTGTAGGTGTGGGTCTTAGACACGCAACCAAGAATCCTCGGCCAGATCCCACGAAGCACTCTACAAAAGGCGCGACTTGATGCGCCCTGCAGGTCACATGGCATCGGCAACCCCGCTGCTGAAGGATGACAAGGCGAAGGGTAAGGGCCCCAATAAGTTGAGGGACTGGGTGAGCGAGATGGGCTCGGGAGCTCCACGGCGATGAATGGAGGTACTTGATACTTCTAGGGCGATGGAGCGTGTCCGAGAGGTGGAATTCAGTACCAGGTGTCGCCGGGCCACTCGTGAGGCAGAGGTTCCATCGCAAGCATGCACACCGACATGACAATCGTTTGGCTACGGATATAGATGAAACGTGTACATATATATATATATTATTAATATTATATTATATTTGTATATGACACATATTGACATGCATATATATATATATACATATGTATAGAGTGTTTGTTGACGTGAGGGGCACCCGACCTTTGTCCCGGGATACCAGCCCACGTGCAGCAGAGACCTTCCCACCCAAATGGTGGACGGGGCAGCGCGAACGCGCTGGTCGTGAGGACTGCAATCGGCCCTGAGTATGGCGATGATGATGACGATGTTGATGATGGTAATGGCGATGACGATGACGATGTTGGTGGTGATGATGATGGTGATGTTGATCCTTCTGCTTCTCATGATGTTGACGGCGATCGCAATGATGACGATGCTACGAATAGCAAACCCAGTCATACACTCGCAAGGCAAATGTGTGAGAACCAACACAGCAGCATCAGTTTTTGTGTGCCGCACCATGCAGCAGCGTCATGTTGCGAGGACCTGGGGTCTACATCTCTCATTGTTTCCGGACCCTTTGCCGATCCAGGAAGCCCTCCCAGCCGTTCAGTTTAACGTGAGAGCCCTGCACGCGTGGGAGGCCAAGCCTGGGTGTGTGCTGGGAGTGCTGAGCGAGGGCTTCAGCCCGGATGCGAAGAATTCAAAGGGCTGCTTGGATGACCAAGACGAGTGGCTGGCTTTGGCTGGATTTCTACCAGGTACACTGCCTTTTCACATGCGGTTTCGGATCAGGTGGTGGAGACTTATGAAATTGACCTGTAGAAAGATTTGGGACAATAGGCTGGTTTCGGGCTTTCCACCTTCCCAGAGAAGCCGCTTCTACAAAGCCCTGGCGGGGTTTTACGTCCTGACGCCGCCGAAAGGGAATCGATTAAGGTTTCGGCGTCAAGTTCGGGGACCAAGCACCCAAGCCGGGGAGCCCTACGCTAACATTTGGGGCATTAATAATACTGTCGATGATATAAATCCTGCATTACCTTAAGGACCCTAAACTCTGGGAATTATGGTATATTCCTTATTTTGGTTGGGTACAAGGATTTATATCATCAACCGTAGCACTCCTCGGATGAGACCTCCGGCCCAGGGGACCCTCGCGTCAGCATGGTACCCGATGTGGCGGCGCAGCTGATGAAGGTGAGATGCGGTTTTGAGAGGGGGGGGGGGGGCTGCACTATAACCGTGCAAGGCAGAAATGCGGTCGGCAGTAGGGGCGGGCTGTTTTGGTATACATACATACGTACGGCATCCATACATCCATACATCCATTCATTCGTGCATGCATACGACATACATACTATGTACGTATATATATATATATATATGTATATGTATATATATATATATACATGTATATATATATATATGTGTATATAGGTATATATATATATATATATGCTACCCCCCCCCTCATGTGCCTACCTTTGGTGTGTGTTTGTGGTGCTTGTTTGTTGATTTTGTATACTCATGCATGTAGTATGCTTAAGAACTAACAGTTGCTAACAATGTCCCGTGAACACCCTCCAACACCAGATCACTACGAT